AGATGTATCAGAAAAAACAATAGATTTTTCATATTACTGTAATCTTTTTATTTATAACAATTCAATGTTAGTATCATCGAAAATATAATATTATAATAACATATATCATAATAAAAATTAAAAAAAGTTTAATTTGAAATCATATCAATTCTTCCGTTGATTTTATACATTAATTTATTGTACATATTTAGAAAAAGCAGATCTTCGAGAATTTTCTCACTGAATGAAAGAAACGCTAATTTAATATAATACGAGGTAAAAAATGATTTTTTACTCCTTAGAATATTTATGACTCTAAAAACCAGGTTTACTTAAAAATGTTTTTTTTTTTAGAATTATTATTGTACTATTTACAATCAAATATAACTCGTTTAATATTAAAATAAAAATTGTATGAGTAAAATAATTATTTATATATGTTATATGTTGTACTATAAAAGGTCACACAAAAAGTTCCTGGAATTAATTTGTAACACAAAATAATAATTAATTTTACAATACAGAAATAATTAATTTTATTTACATTTATATAAGATTTCTTTTAAAGTAGTTCCCTTTTAAAGTTATAAAGTTTTCAGTCGAAGGGGAGGATAAATTATCACTGATTTTCGCAAGCAAGTTTCGTTCCTTATAGAATGAAGATTGGTGTCGAGTCTAAATATTTTCATCTCAATCGGATTCTCTTAGTCGCTCTTGGCTTATGATCATATTATCGATCATATCCCGTTCAAATTGGGATAACCTTATATTTTCGAATTCAAATAAATTATATAATTTCCTATGTTAATATATTCTATATTATATGCAGGATATTTAATTGTATTATATATACATATATTTATTAAGATGTGTGGGTACACGAATTTGAGGATAAAATTTTTGATTCGGGGATTCCCGAATTTCTATTCGGAACCCGATATTCAACTCGGGACAATATTTTTCTGATCACTCCTACATTTTTAAGTTCAGAAATATTTCCATATGTAATTAATGCTTTATGTAATTAAATGCAAGAATTTATAAAGAAAAAAATCAATTTATGAAATTGATGTTCTATTTTAAATTGAAGTGTAGAAAGTATAAATTTTCAACGATATCTGACATTTTTTGCTTCGTTATTACTTCGGTATTTACTTTGATATTTACTCCGTATGGCCGAAAATGTTACCAGCATCAGAAAACAATCATTCGCTCGAGACTTGAGGAATAGCGAGATATTTTCTAGTTACTGCTGCTAATATATATCGGGAATCGTATAACGTTTTACTTCCACCAATCAATTATTTCGGTTCGTTTAGATACTATAGGTTCTGTAAAGTCTAGGTATTTATTTTTTATATGTAAATAATGCAAATAAATTTGTTTCTTTTTCATCTTTGGATCATTCAGAGCCACTTAAAAAAACATCGCTAACTTATATTTCGGTCCACTTACTTAAAAAATATAAATAAAAAAAATCATTTCAATAAATGTACACTATTAAAAGGAAAATGTTTCAGTTAAAATTAACATTTAAGTTAAAATTAACAAAAAATGTATGAAGGAATTCCTAAGCAAAAATATTAAAATTAATAAAAGTATTTAAATATAACATCCTTCTGCATGTCTGAAAAATCCATTACGACATTAAAATCATCATTTTAGTTTTAATAGTTTAATTATGTTTATTCAACAATATACGCAATTTGGAAAAATGTACTGATACACCGTTGATATGTAATAAATGATGTATGGTGATACTGACATTATCTAATAAATTTAATTAATTTTCAAATGATAAAATATTTCTCTTTAAACAGTCAATAGTCCCGATCTTTGATTTTCCATTGAAAGACGATCTTTGGGTACATTAACCTTGTATTCAACAATGTTTTGCATTCCATAATAGGTTCAAAACAGATCTATAAAAGGAATATTGCATTCTATACACAAGAAAGCACGAATATAAAAGTGGTGTAATAAATAATTTATAATAATAAATATATATAATGCATATATATATTAATATGTATATATAAATAATATATATGTATATATATTATATATATATATATATATATACACACATATATCATACATTTCCCCTTTTCTAGTTTGAAGATAAACTCACTTTCAATGTGTTAGAAATGTGAATTAAATTAATTTTTTCGGATAGAATATTATCAGGAATTTTTTATTTATAACACCACTGTGAATGATGTTATATAAAAATGTTATATATAAAATATAAACTTCAATATAAAAGGTAACATAAAATATTAATAAGCCGTACATTTCAATACTTTAAGAATAAACATATTATATTGAGACTTAAGGTTAAATTTAATGACCAACACTATCTTAAAAGTTCAAACGTGCGAACCTTGTAAGTGTACGCACCAGAATGAAACGCACATTACAATAAAAAGCGAAGATTGCGCTTGCGCGGCTATCTATCGACTTTCCTATGAGAATATTTTTCCATAGGATATAAACATCTATTAAATTTCTCTCAATTAAATCGATCATTTAATCACGTTTTTCTTATAAAAAAGTGATGAATTCTAAGTACTTTAAGCTCGAGACATTATTGTATTTCGCTTTGCATATTAAGCAATTGAAGTTGCAATTTACAAAAAGAAAAAAATAGAAATAAATGCAACCAACTGTTAATTTAATAGAAAAATCGGAAAAACGGGAATAAGTAATTTCTTATTTTTCACGGTTAAATGTACTTTAGTGTTTACAAAAATGATTTGTCTTGAGAAACACTTCAGGCTGAATAGATTTCTGTTGCTCACGATAGGTATATGGCCTCACCAGAGATCGAAAAGTGCTCAAATTCAATTTATCGTATTTTTTACTATTTTAACAACTTCTATTGTATTTCAGGTGATAATCAATCATTTTTCATGCGAAACAATAATTAACAGAATTCGAAACTTATTAATCACACTAAGGAATTATTCTTTTAATATGAAATTTTCAATAGAATTATTTATTTGCAGTTTACAACATTTTTAACTTCACAATGCACTGCAGATCTCATTATCAATGTTTTGTCTTTGGCATTTTTCTTTATTTGCTATGCGATTAAATATCATTCGTTTTGGATTAATGCCAATACTGTAAGTCAAATATTTATTATACAGTTTCCAAACAAACATTCGTGATAAATAAATCTTCAAATTTGAAATTTTTTAAATATTTTATACGAAAACTGCATATAATATTATTGATGTAATAGATCAGAGTTTCACTAGACCAACTTCAGCATGTTTGTAATGAAATAAAAAATAAAAACGAAATTGCTATCATAGAAAAGTATGGTCGTATAGGAAAACATCAAACGATAATAATTACGAGTAAGATGTGCATATATGCTTACATTTTAATGAATTATTAATAAAAGTACAAAAATTTATAAAACTTAAATAAATTTTACTTAAATGAATTCTTGATACTTATACATATCATTATACTTATATATATCATTTACTTTCTGTTAGTTCTTGCCGCATGTGCCATATCTATTTATTTCTTCCTGCCAATCTGGCATCGTATATTTGATGTAATTCTGGCTATAAACAATTCCCGATCACGCTCTGCAGCGATTCACATTGCAACAGAATATTTTGTTGATCAAGAAAGATTTTCCTACTTAATTCTTTTGCATACAAACACAGCCTTGTGCATAGGGGCAACTGCAATGACAGCAACAGGAACAATGCTGATAGCATACCTCAAACATATTTGTGGAATGTTTAGCATTGCAAGGTAGACTTCAATGCAATTATTCGTTTCATAAGTGAAATCTATTCTTTGTTTATTTTGAATCATATTTAAAAAAAAATTAAGAACTTACAGTAAAAAATATATATTCATATAGTTTTCGTATTAAGAAGGCAATGGCAGTTAATATGCAACAAGATGTTAATGAAGAAAAAACAGTTATAATTTATAAAAGAATAATCTGTGCGATAGACATTCATCGCAAAGCTACAGAGTCAGTACACATTCAGCAATGTCTGTATAACGTGCTCTACTAATTTTTGTTTTATTTCTGAAGGTTTTCTCAAGTCTTTATAAGGAGTTTTGAAAGATCGTTCTTCTGTTTAATAGCGGCTAGTATGGTTTGCATAACCAGCAGTCTTGTTCAAGTAAGTTTGATTTTATGTTATTAAACGTATTATTTCATGAAATATACAGTTTTTATAATATTAAGATTAAATAAAGAATCTTAAATTAGAGTAGTATAGAAAATAATTTTCTTAAAAAATAAAATCATTCAAGAAATCATCATTATTCTTCGTTTAACTTTTTTTTTATAATCATAAACTATATATACATTATTCGCATACGTATGTTATAAAAATGATACAGTTTTCTAATATGCGAAACCAATAAAGAAAATAATTTATTATTTTATAATGCAAGCTGTATAATTTTTCCTAAAAAATTACAGAAAAAATACAAAATTTCTTGCTTGTAAAAAGTTAAAATACACATATATAACATATGTATCATATTTTTTAGATCATATCATATAATAACACAGAGCAACTTGTATTTGAACTTTTAAAGATAAGTGTTCTCTATATATACATGTTTTTGTCTAATTATATCGCACAAGATATTACAGATCACAATGAATACGTATTTGCTACAGTGTAAGAGACATTTGCATCATACGTTCATACTTAAGAAATTGTTTTACAATATTCTTGTAACAAAATGCTGAGTTAACATAAGTATTCGAATATAATACTATTCTTGAACGAATATACTATAACAAATATTTTTATTTTTTCATGTTATATTTTCATGTTATGTTTATTAATTTATCATTGATTTGTAGATATGATGTTGAATGGTATGTCGCTCCATTACACATACAAAAAATGATGTTATTTCTACTACAAAAAGGTACAAAGGCTTTTCGTTTGATTCTCGGTGGAATATTCATTGCGTCTATGGAAAGTGCTGCTACGGTAAGAGATATATACAAACATTTTCTTGCTCGCGAATATTAATATTTAATCAAAAATAGTAACATTCACAGTCATTCAATATTTTGACAATACTTTAGAATTATTTAGATAATCAACTAAGGTAGCTCTATTAAAATAAGTTGAAAATAAAATTTAAATTAGCTGAGTTACAAAAATAGAATAAAGAAAAGCGAAAAATGTTAAATTGATACTATATATTGATTTGATGTGTTGCACTCTAGAATATTATACAATAAATCAACTTTCGTTATTTGAAAATATATTGATGGATTATTCCGAAAAAATGAATAATTTAAATATGTAGGGAGAAGTCGCCTATATCACATCCTTTAAGGTTAAACAAAATTGTAACAAAAGCACCGAAGGGAACACAACATTTGTGTAACTACATTAAACTCTGATTCATTGAAAATAAAATGATAACTTTTACGAAAATAAGTATTAAATTCTTGTTCCAATCATAAATTTACGAAAATATAATTTCGATATGATTTGGAGACCGGATCGTTAAATTGTACCACTGGGTTTCTAAATTATACCGCGCGCTCGAGGACGAAAGAAGAGAATGGACGGAACCCTCCGCAATCGTTAATACATAAATGTACGAAAGATTTCTGCTTTCCTCCCCCTCATAAAGGCAAAGTTAATTTTTTTTAAATTAAATCTCGCTTTGCGTGCAAACTTAGAAACCTATGTAGAATTGCGCTTCATGTGGAAACTTGTAAACCCCTGAACAATGAAAAAGAAATTTTAATATTAATAAACAAACGGTAATATATCACTGTAAGAGTCAGAAAACCGTATGCACATGTAGTGTAGAGGATGTTGAACATGAAGATGTACTCCGCAGCTGTGACAGATTTCCTAATTTCGATATAGTCGTTAACATTAACACTTAATATCTCATTTCGCAAGGCAGTCCCGCACTTTTTTCTGTCAGATTCTTTTATTTTATGTAAAAACGTGCTAATCAAATGTGCTAATTTCATCGAAATCGGAAATGCGGTAATTCTCCTGGATAATTACCAATATCAGTTTATATATTAAAACCTTATTCTTCTCAGTCCTTATATTGTTCAGTCTTTTTGCGTAATAGGTCTTTTAATTCTTCACGACCGATGCTAATCAAACGTAACCTCACAATGCGTAGCTGCGAGGAGATAATGAGAGCTCGCGTCGCTTGTGAAAATCGTATCGGTACAATATAAAGACCAGTGACAATTTACTCTATTCCAACTTACTCTATTTTTACAAATTTGCAATAGCAACAAAACTAACAAATATTTTGCTAATTTGATGAGATACTCGAATAGAATTTAAATATCAATTATCATCTATAGTACACTAAGATTCATTCACCACCTTGTACTGATAGCACTTTAAGCAAAAATTGTAAAAACTTAAATCAGACACCAAACAAAATAGTTTTGAATATTACTCGTAAATAGACGGCACAAAGCCATAATAAAAATGGCAGTTCTTAAACCATGTGACTAGCGTTACATCATCGTTATTACTCTTAAAAAAAAATGTATAGAAAATACTATGGAGATATAACTTAATCAATGATACGGCTTATCCAACTCCATCCTATATTGTTAATCCATTATTTTAACAGACATTCTCCACACAGCTTTAATATAGCTTCTTACAAATTAAAACAAAAGGAGTTATTTTCATTACAGTTGATGGGTACTTCAATATCTTACTTCACTGTTCTCTATTCTACAAGTACGAAATAATAATTGTAAAATAACTGAGACAGGTATGTATAAAAGTAAAAAACATATGAGAAAGTAAGAGAGAGAGAAACGGAAAAGAAGAAAAATGTAAACTATAATAATTTGACTAAAATTGTTTAGCCCTCAATTTTAGGTGTCGCTTGCTGTACGTAAAGATTCAATTCGAAAAAAAGGTAAAAATTTATATTTAAACAGAAAATTACATACATATTATAAAGTACTTATATAATAAAATACGGAATTTAAAATTGACATTATATTAACAAGTTACAACATTGAAATGTATATGTTAGGAAGGATCGTGCCGCGCACCTGCGAAGTCTATTATCGCACGATTCCCTTGAATAAAATATGTATTTCTTTATGGAAAATAAATATCTCTTGCAATATTGCTGTAATAATCAAATCGATCGTTTAACCATACACCTTTTCCAGAAAAGTGAATCACTATCATGTGTTTTTTTATCCGACAATAATATTTCCTCTACATTATATTTAAATTAAAATAGACAAATCAGCTTAAAATTTACATAAAAAAGTATGTCATTGTATTCCAAGCACGGTAATATTTTTGACTATAATTAAATAATTCAATGATTCGCACAATACACAAAATATTAAGTTCCAATTGATAGTGATTTGAATAATGCAACAAGATGTATCAGAAAAAACAATAGATTTTTCATATTACTGTAATCTTTTTATTTATAAGAATTCAATGTTAGTATCATCGAAGATATATTATTATAATATCATATATCATAATAAAAATTAAAAAAAGTTTAATTTGAAATCATATCAATTCTTCCGTTGATTTTATACTTACATTAATTTATTGTACATATTTAGAAAAAACAGATCTTCGAGAATTTTCTCACTGAATGAAAGAAACACTAATTTAATATAATATGAGGTAAAAAATGATTTTTTACTGTTTAGAATATTTATGACTCTAAAAACCAGGTTTACTTAAAAATGTTTTCTTTTTGAGAATTATTATTGTACTATTTACAATCAAATATAACTCGTTTAATATTAAAATAAAAATTGTATAAGTAAAATAATTATTTATATATGTTATATGTTGTACTATAAAAGGTCACACAAAAAGTTCCTGGAATTGATTTGTAACACAAAATAATAATTAATTTTACAATACAGAAATAATTAATTTTACTTACATTTATATAAGATTTCTTTTAAAGTTCCCGTTTAAAGTTATGAAGTATTCAGTCGAAGGGGAGGATAAATTATCAAATTATCACTGATTTTCGGAATCAAGTTTCTTTTCTCGTAAAATGAAGATCTGTATTGAGTCTAAATATTTTCATCTCAATCGGATTCTCTTACTCGCTCTTGGCTTATGATCATATTATTTATCAAATCGCGTTTGAATTCGGATAATCTTGTATTTTCGAATTCAAATAAGTTATATTATTTCCTATGTTAATATATTCTATATTATATGCAGGATATTTAATTTTATTATATATACATATATTTCTTAAGAATGTGTGGGTACACGAATTTGAGGATACAATTTTTGATTCGGGAATTCCTGAAATTCTATTCGGAATCCGTTATTCAACTAGGGACAATATTTTTCTGACCGCTCCTACATTTTTAAGTTTAGAAACGTTTTCATACGTATCATGTAATTAAGTGCAAGAATTTATAAAGAAAAAAATCAAATTTATGAAAAATTGTTTTATTTTAATGAAGTGTAACTTTTCAACGACATCTGACATTTTTTGCTTCGTTATTACTTCGGTATTTATTTAGGTATTTACTACGTATGGCCGCAAATGTTATCAGCATCAGAAAACAATCGTTCGCTTGAGACTTGAGGAATAGCGAGATACTTTCTAGTTACTGCTGCTAATATATCGGGAATCGTATAACGTTATACTTCCACCAATCAATTATTTCAGTTCGCTTAAATACTATATCTTCTGCAAAGTCTAGGCATTTAATTCTTTATATGTAAAGAATGCAAATAAATTTGTTTTTTTTTCCTCTTTGGATCATCCAGAGCATCTTAAAAAAACATCGCTAACTTATATTTCGGTCCACTTACTTAAAAAATATAAATAAAAAGAATCATTTCAATAAATGTACACTATTAAAAGCAAAATGTTTAAGTTAAAATTAACATTTAAGTTAAAATTAACAAAAAATGTATGGTGGAAATTCTAAGCATGCAAAAGTATTAAAATTAATTTAACTTTCTGCATGTCTGAAAAGTCCATTATACGTCATTAAAATCAACATTTTAGTAGTTTAATTATGTTTATCCAATAATGTGCGCAATTTGGAAAATGTACTGTTACACCGTTGATGTGTAATAAGTGATATATGGTGATACTGACAGTATCTAATAAATTTAATTCATTTGCAAATGATAAAATATTCCGCTTTAAACTGTCAACAGTTCCGATCTTTGATTTCCTATCGAAAGACGATCTTTGAACCGTGGGTACAATAACCTGGCATTCGTCAATGTTTTGCATTCCATAATAGGTTCAAAACAGGTCTACATAAGGAATATTGCATTCTATATACATACGAACGCACGAATATAAAAGTGGTGTAATAAATAATTTATAATAATATATGTATATATATATATATATAAGTAGATATATAATGCATATATATATTAATATCTATATATAAATAATATTTATATATATTATATACATATTATATATCATGTATATATAAATTTTATTTATACACATTCATTTTCTCTTTTCTAGTAGTTTGTTACGAAGATAAACTCACTTTCAATGTGTTACACAAATGGTTAGAAATGTGGATTTAATTAATTTTTTCGGATAGAGTATTATCAGAAATTTTTATTTATAACATCACTGTGGATAATTTTATATAAAAATGTTATATATAAAATATAAATAGCTTCAATATAAAAGGTAACATAAAATATTAATAAGCCGTACATTTCAATACTTTATGAATAAACAAATTTTGTTGAGACTTAAGGTTAAATTTAATGACCAACATTACCTCAAAAGATCAAACGTACCATGTGAGTGTACACATTAGAATGAAACGCATATTACAATAAAAAGCGATGAGTGCGCTTGCGCGGCCATCTATCGAGTTTCTCTATGCGAATGTTTTTCCATGGGATATAAACATCTGTTAAATTTCTTTCAATGTAATTAAATCGATCGTTTAATCATGTTTTTCTTATAAAACGGTGAGGAATTCTAAATACTTTAATCTGGTGACATTATTACATTTCGCTTTGCATGCTGACATATTAAGCAATTGAAGTTACAATTTACTAAAAGAGTAAAATTGAAATATTTTCAACCAACTGTTAGATTAATAGAATTGAAAACAGAGAATAGGCAATTTCTTATTTTCACAATTAAATGTACTTCAGAGTTTACAAAGATGATTTGTCTTGAGACGAAACACTTCAGGCTCAATAGATTTCTTTTGCTCGCGATTGGTTTATGGCCTCACCAGAGATCGAAACTTGCTCAAATTCAATTTATCGTACTTTTTACTATTTTAACAACTTTTGTTGTATTTCAGGTGATAATAAGTTTTTCATACGAAACAATAATTAACAGACTAGAATTTGAAACTTATAAATCACACTAAGAAATTATTCATTTAATATGAAATTTTAAACAGAATCACTTATTTACAGTTTACAACGTTTATAACTTCAAAATGCACTGCAGATCTCATTATGAATGTTCTGTCTTCCGCATTTTTCTTTATTTGCTATGCGATTAAATATCATTCGTTTTGGATTAATGCCAATACTGTAAGTCAAATATTTATTATATAGTTTCCAAATATTCGTGATAAATAAATCTTCAAATATGACATTTTTTAAATATTTTGTACGAAAAGTGCAATATTATTGATGTAATAGATGAGAGTTTCACTAGAACAACTTCAGCATATTTGTAACGAAATAAAAAATAAAGACGAAATTGCTATTATAGAAAAGTATGGCCATATAGGAAAACGTCAAACGAGAATAATTACGAGTAAGATAGTGCATATGATTACATTTTAATGAATTATTAATAAGTGTAAAAAATTTATAAAGTTTAAATAAATGTTAATTAAATAAATTCTTATACATATGTATATCGTTTGTTTTCTAATTTAATGTTAGTATTTGCCGCATGTGGCACATCTATTTATTTCTTCCTTCCATTCTGGCCTTGTATATTTGATGTAATTCTGGCTATAAACAATTCCCGATCACGCTCTGCAGCGATTTATACTCTAACAGAATATTTTGTTGATCAAGAAAACTTTTCCTACTTAATTCTTTTGCATACAAACGCAGCCTCGTGTATAGGAGCAACTGCAATGGTAGCAACAGGCACGATGCTGATAGCGTACCTCAAACATATTTGTGGAATGTTTAGTATTGCAAGGTAGAATTCAATATAATCAAGGTAGAATTCAATATAAATTTGTTTTATAAGTAAAATCTATTCTTTGTTTATTGTCAATTAAATCTTAAAAAATTAAGGACTTACAGAAAAATATATGTATTCATATAGTTTCCGTATTAAGAAGGCAATGACAATTAATATGCAACAAGATGTTACTGAAGAAAAAATGGTTATAATTTATAAAGGAATAATCTGTGCGATAGACATTCATCGCAAAGCTACAGAGTCAGTACACATTCTGTAATATCTGTCTGTAACGTGCTCTACTAATTTTTGTTTTATTTCTGAAGGTTTTCTCAAGTCTTTATAAAGAGTTTTGAAGGATCTTTCTTTTGTTTAATAGCGGCTGGTATGGTTTGCTTAACCAGCACTCTTGTTCAAGTAAGTTTTATTTTTTGTTATTAAACGCGCGTATCTTTCCATAAGATACAGAAAGATACAGTTTTCATAATATTAAGATTAAATAAAGAATCTTTAATTAGAACAGTATGAGAAAATAATTTTCTTTAAAAATAAAATCATTCAAAATCTCATGATTATTCTTCGTTCATCTTTTTTTTATAATCATAAGCTATGCATTACTTTCATACATATGTCACAAAAATACAGTTTTCTAATATGTGCAATCAATAAAGAAAATAATTTATTATGTAATGCCAGCTGTATAATTTGTCCTAAAGAATTACAGAAAAGTTTCTTGCTTATAAAAAGTTAAAATACATATGTAACATATGTTTTATATTTTTTAGATCATATCATATAATAGCACAGAGCAACTTGTATTACATTTTATATACTTAAGTGTCCTCTACATGTACATGTTTCTGTCCAATTATATCGCACAAGATATTACAGATCACAATGAATACGTATTTGCTACAGTGTAAGAGACATTTGCCGTACCTTCATACTTAAGTAATTGTTTTATAAATTCTTGTAACAAAAAGCTGACTTAAGTATTACAAAAGTATACAAAAGTATACAAAAGTATACAAAAATAATACTACAGGGCGCGTCACCAAAATTCGAACAAATTTCAATTTAAATTTTCCGCTATATTGTGCTTCGCCAGAGATTATTGTTGGCGTCTGAGAAAGCCTGATGCTTCTAGTAAACAGCCATATTCTCAAAATGGCTGCGATGTTAGTAAAGTCAAGTGCGGAGTATAATCGAAAAGCCGCGATCATCAGACTTTCACACTGGACGATCAGCAACAGAAATAATTCGGTTCTTTGAATACCCGAGATCTATCGTTGTGGCAAAATATACGGCTTTAGAATAGTCCAACGGACGTTCGTATCCATCGAGAAAGAGTCACTCGAAAGTACGCACTGCGAGGATCGCAGACGTTGAAAAGGCTTAAGCGCTGATTTCGAATGATCCAGGGCAATCGTTACGAAAATTAGCATCGATTGTTGGTGGCGAGCCAACAATAAGTCAATCATTGTTTTGTAGATATTTTGTAGATGTTGAATGATATTGCCGAGAAGAATTTTCGATACAAATCGTACACATTAAAGATACGACAGATGCTCTCTCTCAGACTACTAAGACAAGCCGAGTTGTTTGTCGTAATCTGCTATTGTGTTCTTTGAAAAACGAAGCGTCGGGATGATGCAGGTTCTTTTCTGACGAAAAAATTTTTATTGTTGATGCAAAAATCAACTAGAGGAATGAACGATGAATCGCCTACAATCCCGAGGATGTCCCAGTTGTTACCAAAATGAAATTTCCGGCCAATGTTCATGTGCTAGATGATGCTTGTATCCAGTGATATCATGCCACCACATTTTTTTAAAAGAGATAAAACTATCACAAAAGAAGTGTATTTGCGAGTTCTGATTGATGCAACATTCGACATGGACAGCGCTACATTACAGAGTGTGTGTGCGAACGCTTCAGAGCGAGAACAGAGGTCGTCATTCCAGTTAATGGGAGATAAATCGAATAATTGTACTATACAAGGATCCCCCTAATGCCATGTAAAAGAATTTTTTGTAATATTTAATTATTCATTAAAAAACATTTTGGTTAAAGAAATTGTTCGAATTTTGGTGATGCAGCGTTCTTGTGAACGGACATACTATAAGAATTTATACCATAACAAATATTTTTATTTTTTTCATGTTAAGTTTTACATTAATTTATGATTGTTTTATAGATATAACGTAGAATGGTACATGGCTCCGTTACACATACAAAAAATGATGTTATTTCTACTGCAAAAGGGTACAAAGGCTTTTCATTTGATTCTCGGTGGAATATTCATTGCGTCACTGGAAAGTGCTGCTACGGTAAGAGACATATACAAATCTTTTGTTCCCCATGAATATTATTGTTTAATCGAAAATAATAACATTCACAGTCATTCAACATTTTAGAATTATTTAGATCAAATAAAATAGCTCTATTAAAAGAAGTTAGGAACAAAATGTAAATTAATTGAATTAAAAAAATAGAATAAAAAACAAAGAAAACTGTTCAATTAGTATTATATATTCAATTGATGTATTGCACTCAAGAATATTATACAATAAATCAACTTTCTTTATTTACAAATATATTAAGGGATTAATCGGAAAAATGAATTTTTTTAAAGTAAATCTCGCTTTGATGCAAATTTAGAAATCTATGGGAAACCGCGCTTCATGTGGAAAGTTGTAAATCTCTGAACGATGAAAGGGAGACTATTTGATTATTAATAAACATTAATATATCGTTGCAGAAGTTAGTAAAATGTATGCAAATGTAGATTGAAATGTAGAGCATGTACATCAAGAAGATGGGGCAGCACATGTTTTCATAGCAGTTTTTTCCGCAAATGTGACAGACTTCGATATAGTCGTTAACTTAATGCTTAATATCTCGTTTCGCAGAGAAGTTCCACACTTTCTTATTTTATGCAAAAAAACGCGTAAAATGAACTAATTTCATCGAAATCGGAAGTGCGATAATTCTTCTGAATAATTACAAAAATCAGTAAATGTATTAAAACTTTATTCTACGTAGTCCTTATATTCTTCCGAGTTTTTGCATTATAGGCCTTTTCATAATTCTTCGCGACCGATGCTATAATCAAACGTAACATAAAAATGCGTACGAGCCGCGAGGAGATAATGAGAGCTAGCGTCGTTTATGAAAATCGTACCGGTACAATATAAAGATCAATGACCAAAACGATTTATCCAACTCTCTCTATTTTTATAAATTTGCAATAGCAACATAACAAATATTTTGCTAATTATATGAGATACTCGAAAAGAATTTAAACGTCAACTATCACCTATAGTACCTAAGATTCATTTATCATCTTGTACTGATAGCACTATAATAAAATGTAAAGACTTAAATCAGACACAAACAAAATCAATTTTGAATGTCACTCGTAAATACGGCTAAAAGACCAAACAAAAATGGCAGTCCTTGGCAAGCCATGTTGCTAGCGTTACATCAGCGTCATTACTCTTAAAAAAAATGTTTCATCTAAAAAATACAATGGAGATACGATTTAACCAATGATACGACTTATCCAACTCCATCTTATATTGTTAATCCATTATTTTAACGGACATTCTTCACACAGCTTCAATATAGCTTCTTACAGATTGAAACAAAAAAAGTTATTTTCATTACAGTTGATGGGTACTTCAATATCTTACTTCACTGTTCTCTATTCTACAAGTACAAAATAATAATTGCAAAATAATTAAGACAAGTATTTATAAAAGTGAAAGAGATATGAGAAAATAAGAGAGAGAGAAACAAAAAAGAAGAAAAATATAAACTATTATAATTTGACCAAAATCATTTAGCCTTCGGGTTTAAGTATCGCTTCCTAAGTATCGTTTCAATTCAAAAAAAGACGAAAATTATTAAACAAAACAATCGTACATATTATAAAATATTTATATAAAAAAATATAGAATTTAGAATTGACATTATATTAATAAGTCACAACATTGCAATGTATGTGTCAGAAAGAGTCGTGCCGCGCACCGACGAAGTCTATTATCGCACGATTCCCTCGAATAAAGTATGTATTTCTTAATGCAAAATAAATATATGTTGCATTACTGCTATAATCAAATCGATTGCTTAACACATTTTCCAAAAAAGTGAATTACCATCATGTGTTTTTTTTTATCCGACAATAATATTTCCTTCTACATTGCATTTAATTTAAATTATTAGGCAATTCAGCTTAAAATTTAAATAAAAAAGTATTTCATTATATTTCGAGGACGATAATATTTTTAACTATAATTAAATAATTCAATGATTCGCCTAATAAAAAAAATATTAAATTCCAATTTGTAGCGATTCGATCATATTATAGATCAATTCTCGTTCGAATTCGGATAATCTTGTACTTTGTAATTCATATAAATTATATTATTTTCCATGTTAATAAATATTGCATTATAAGCAGGATATTTAATTGTTTTATATATACATATATTTAGTAAGAATGTGTGGGTATCCGAATTTCAGAATAAAATTTTTGATTCTGGAATTGCCGAAACTCTATTCGGAATACTATTATATATACCCGATACTCAAATCGGGACAATATTTTTCTGAACGATCCTAAATTTTTAAGTTTAGAAACGTTCCCATAAATATCATGTAATAAAATGCAAGTATTCATAAAGAAAAAAACAATTTGTAAAAAATTGTTTTATCTTAAATTGGAGTATTGATAGTATAACTTTTCGACAATTTCTGATATTAATCTTTTACTTTGTTATTACTTCGGTATTTACTTTCGGTTATGTTATCAGCGTTATCATTGGAAAACAATCGTTCGCTTAAAATTTGAGTTACAGGAATAGCAAGATACAATCTAGTTAAAGCTTTTAATATCAGAAATCATATAATATAACGTTATACTTTCACCAATCAATTATTTCGGTTCTAGATACTATATCTTCTGCAAGTGTTCTGCAAAGCATTTAATTTTTATATATAAAGAATGAAAATAAATTTGTTTTTTTTTCCTATTTAGATCATGCAAAGCCTCGTGAATAAAGATCCCTAATTTATTATTTATTAATTTCGGCTCAATGTATAAAAAATAAAAATAAAAATAATCATTTCAATAAATGTACACTATTAAAAGCAAAATGTTTAAGTTAAAATTAACAAAGATGTATGGTGGAATTTCTAAGACATGCAAAAGTATTAAAATTAATATAATTTAACTTTCTGCATGTCTGAAAAAAGTCCACTATACGTCATTAAAATCAACATTTTATTTTTAGTTTAATTGTGTTTAGTCAATAGCATACGCAGTAGTTTAATTATGTTTAGTCAATAGTATACGCAATTTGTAAAATGTACCGTTATACTGTTGTCATATAATAAGTGTTATATGGTGATACTGATAGTATTTAATAAATTTATTTCATTTTCAAATGATAAAATATTCTGCTTTAAACTGTCAACAGTTCCGATATTTAATTTACCGTTGAAAGACGATTTTTGAACCATGGGTACAATAACCTGGCGGACATAAATGTTTTGCATTCCATAATAGGTTCAAAACAGAACTACAAAAAAAATATTGCACGCTATACACACACATACACACACGCACACGCGAGCGCGCATATCAAAGAGATGTTAGAA